AAGGGAAAATAGGATCCCCTTGTCTAATGTCTCTTCCTGGATTAAAACTATCAGTCATATTACCATTCCAATTAATAGATAAGGAGGAGGAAGTCACACATGTGTTAATAATCTCAAAAAATTTATGATTAAAACCAATTAACTTCAAAGTATCATAAATAAAACTCCATCTTATCTTATCATAGGCTTTTTCTAGATTCAACTTGATGATCATGTATCAGAGCTACCTTTAAGTTTATCAACAGAATGAATAAGCTCTTGCAGAATTAGAACATTATCTATATCTTGTCGGCCAGGGATAAAACTAGTCTAATATTCAGATATAATATGGGGCAAAGCTCCCCTAATTCTATTAGCAAGGACTTTAGTGATTATCTTATAACTCACATTACACAAAGATATAGGTCTAAACTGCTTTATATGTTCAGGGTTACTAATTTTAGGAATAAGAGTTGTAATAGTGTCAATTATAGCAGCAATATTATTAGGGTTATTAAAGGCATCACGCACCAAATTAAAAATACAAGGACCTAACCTATCCCAATAATATTTTAAAAAGATGGAATGCAGGCCATCAGGGCTAGGGGCCTTATGGTTTCCTATACTAAACAGGCCAGCTTTTACTTCTTCCAAAGTGAGCTCAGAATCTATAGTATTTCTATCAATATCCTCAAGGGGAGGAAAACTAGACTCTGAAAATAGAAATTGGCCTTTAGGGTTATGATCAGTATATATATCTTTAAAGTACTCAACATCACGATTTTGAAGCCAAATGGGATATATTCCCAAACGTTATTATCATCCCTAAGGACCTCAATACTTCTAATTTGTCTTCTACTAATAACAGCCATATGAAAAAAAAGTAGTATTTCTATCCCCCTTGATTTATCCAACTAGATTTATATTGGTGAAACTAGTAATTTTCCTTCTGGTCCAAAATTTTCTGATATTCCATCCATAATGATTTCATAAGCTTACTAAGAAAAGGATTATCCTCATACTCAATCTTGCCATAAATGCCCCTAATTCTGTTTAAAATTCTTTGCTTCCTTTTAAAGATATTTCCAAAAATCATTACATTCCATTCAGAGATATTATTTTAAAAATTAGAAACATTCTCCACCCAAGTTTTAGAACTGACCCAAGATTTAGTGACCTGATTACTGAAATCCTCGTGAGATAACCAAGAGGAGAGAAATTTGAAATTTTTATTTCTGGGTTTAAAATTATCTTCATTCCTAATTTTAAGCCATAACCCCACATGGTCAGACTTCATAAGAGGAATATGAATCATTGAACTATTTTGAAAAGTCATTTTCCAAAGGTCATTAACCACTACTTTGTCTATCCTTTCTCTAATGTTTCCCCTTTGTCAAGTAAAAGGGTTTCCTTTACACCCCAAATCTTGTAAGCTACAAGCATTCAGACAATCAGCAAATTGATTCATTAAGGAAATATTGGCAGGTCTGCCACCCAATTTTTCTTTTTCAAATAAAATGGAATTAAAATCACCAGCAACACACCAGGGATCCTTAATAGTTAAACTAAATTCAACTAGTAATTTCCATACGCCAGCTCTATTATTTTCTTGAGGGCTAGCATATATAGATGAGAGGAACCACACTTTCTGGCCATTATTAATTTTAAGATGTATCATAAATTTATTCTTATTTATAATAGAGACCTGAACTTTCTTAGAATTCCAGCAACATCAAAATCCTTCAGAAAAACCTATAGCATCAACTCTAACAGTTTTATCAAAGTTAAATCTTTTAGTGACCAAAATAGCTTTATCAGCCCTGATCCTAGGTTCAAAAATAGAAATAAAATCCAAGTGATAAATTATGGAAAGGTCATTTATCATTTTGGGAAAGGATTTTCCCCCAGCACCTCTACAATTAAAAAACAAGCAGTTCATAAAAACAAAACTCAAGGATGTAGATTATCTAAAGGATACTCATCAAAACCTGTTCTAATAGGGCTATGCTCAGGAGAGATTATGTTCTTTATACCAGTTTTATCTACCTCCATTAATAAAGGTGGGTCTGGAGGTTTTTCTAAATGGGGTTGGAGAGATTCTTTCTGAATCTGCCAATTAATATAAGGATTAAGCCCTATAAGATTAAGTATATTATGATTCCTTTTACAATTTTTTTGAATGCTTTTCTGAATAATAGACATAAGTCTTAAGGTTTCCATATTTTCTTGGGAGGATCTATTAACATTTTCATTCTGAGTATTAGAAGAATTACTAAGGCTATCTACCTTAATACAAGAATCTTTTTCCTTCACTGAAATAGACAATTTATTAATAGACTTGGATTTGGGAAATTTCTTGCCAATATTACTTAATTTGGGACTGTTTGGAATTTTCCTATCCATGTTATACTTAAGGCCCTTATTACTAACCTTACTACTTACAGTTTGTTCATTGACCTTTAAGTCATTTGCTTCTACAACTTGGTCTACTTCCTTATCTGAATCACCTAGAATATCAAACCTAGACCTAGCTGGGTAATCTTTTACCTTTTCAAGTTTTGGAAGGGACCCTGTGATATTAGTGTAATTGGATTTTTTCCTAAATATTTTCTTAACTAACATCCACGGTCCAAATGGATCATCCATTTTCTCAACCTCCTGACTCTTAACAATCCTAGGACTATCCTTCCTATCATTTAAATTACCCCTAAGAGATTCCTTGTTATCTCTTTGATTTATAGGGTGAGGTCTATCCATATCCATTTCCTCATGGTTATTATCCTGGAGGGCCTCACAGGAATCCTACTTATGCCCATACTTCCCACATTTAAAGCAAATGAGGTGTAATCCCTCATATTCTACTCTGAAAGTCTGTCCGAAGACTTTGAAAGTTGGAATTAACTCCCTGTTTAGATTAATTTCTACACAAATTCTGGCAAATTTACCTCTAGACTGAAGGGATGTAAAAGGGTCTATTTTTAACATGGACCCAAGACAAGATCCAACTTGCCAAAGAAATTTGTTATTATAAAGTTCTAAGGGCAAGTCTGGAATCCGAACCCAAACCGCTATTTTCTTAAGGCTAAAGTCCTTAGTTCTAAACAGAGATTTCCACCTTTGCACAAGCAAATAATGATCAAGAATCATCCAAGGTCCTTCAAATAGAGCAAGTTTATAGTCTTCTTGTTTCTAAAATTTTATTAGAAAAAAATCATTATTCAAATCCAGAATTTGTAAATACCCATTTTTTTCCCCACAAATTAATTAGTCTTTGGCTTATATAGTTAAAGTTTACTGACTTACCTAACAATTTAACTATGAGAGAGAACTTCCAAGGTGAACACCAGACTTCATAGTCGTCAAGGGGTATTTTTAGTTCAGGACAAAGATTGGGCTTGTCTGAAATTGATTCTATAGCATCATCCGTTTCAAAGGGTATATTAAAGTCTTCAAGAACTGATTTTATTATTTCATCATTGTTCAGAGTCAGATCTAGGTCATTAGACCCTAACACCTTATCTTTATAAGAAACGGAATGATTAAAAATAGGATTTGAAGACACTTAGGATAAGATTTGGTCTACTGAACAATATCCTTCGTGTATGCTTCCCTGTTGCTCCATAAGTAGCGCCTGAGACTGTATTTCTTCATTGTCCTTAACCCACTCTTTCAGATCTGGATCAACTAGACCTCGATGTTCCCCTTCAGGATACTCCACCTCTTTGCTCTTTTGCTGAGTCAATATTACAAAATATTGAGCTCCATTCATGTTCTTGGAAGGTCCTTCCATGATAATCTCTGGACCCATCTTCACTTTCTTTGTACTCTGATTCATTTGGTCAAGCTCTTTAGTAGAGCGCTTCTCCACCTCGTGACGATCCATGATTAGAAAAAAATAAGAAAAAGACGCTGAGAACAAGAAATTCTCAGCCAAGATGAGAGTTGGTATCACAAAAAAGGAAGGTCTTGATCAATCTCGAAGACGGCCAGGAAGAGAAACCCTAGCAGCACTGCCTCCTTCTTTTCTTGAAAAGAAAAAATGAATCTTGGAAAAACCCTATCTTGTCAAAATGGAGAAACTTATTTTTACTAAAAAGATTCAGATGTCCTTTTTTAATTTTTTTATAGCATAAATCTAAAAATTTGACACATTATATTCAATTAAAGATATATTTCTATTTTGAATAAATCAAAATTTAAAATTATTATAACTTTAATTAATTTAAAATTAATTTAATTTTTTTAAAATAATGATGTTAACAGTTTTTATCTTTCAAAAATTCCTTCTCAATCACTTAAAAAAATTATATATATACATAGAAGATCATTTAATTAAAAAAGATAACGTCAGAATTTAATATTAAAAAAAAGATAACGTTAGAATTTAATTGCGTAACCTAAACATAATTAATTTTGCACTTTTTTCTAATTATTTATGAAAGTTTAATTAAAAGAACTAAAATAAAGTATGGCAAAAAAAAGAATAATAAGAAGAAAATATTTAAGTTTGTGATAAAAAAAATAATAAATCTGCATATTAAAAGCAAAGAAATAGTAAATACAGTTGTTGTAGAAGATATTGATTATTGACATAATGTAATGACGAAAACGGCGAGTACCCGAGAAGTCCATAGAAAAGAGAGGAGAGAGAGTGAGAGTGTGTTCAGTGTAAAACCACTGAAAAACTGAGAAAGAAAGAGACGAGGGAGAGAAAAATAGGGTGGGAGCCAGCCACCGTAACAGTGAATATTCGCAAACAAGACAAGGTATTAAAATTTTTACCATGAAAAAGTCTTGATTCTCGTCGACACATAAACAAGGTTGTGCTACTTTTTAAAATACAATTGGTCTGTTTAATGTTTTCATTGAGATTTGCGTCTGTTCAATCCGTGTACCAAAGTCGCCGCTTTTTACCTTTTGTTTTTTCTGTTAACCCAGCATAGGTAACAGATCGGTTATTAAAAATAATTGTAATACAAAATTAGTCATTTTGACAGAAAAATCCTAGCCATAGATTTATAATCTCTTCATCTCTAAATTCTTTGTTTACTGTGTTTCTCTATATATTGCCCAGACACTGTGTTTACCTTTCTCTTTTTTTGGCAATTGAAGAGACAGGGTTAGAGGGAGAGTGGCTTAGTTTTAATATTGGGATTTCTGTGAGGAATTCATTGAAGGAGGAAACGCAGAAGATTTATGTCGTCTGGTTTTTATCATTTGGAAGTAGTGATTGGAGCTCTGTTGCAGCTCTGGTTTGTTTATGCTTTTGCTTGCTGCATGCTTCTGTCTCTGGTGTTGAATACAGCCGTTTCGATGAGTTTGAGGCCCAAACGGTATGTCGTTTTTCTTGCTTGTGTTTTTGGATTCTCGGATGGATTTGTTGTTTGAATTTATATATATATTTTTTCATGTTTTTGTTTATAGGACTAGTTACGGAGTTGTGGTTTGCTACGGAGGCTTTCAAATAAAAAAATTTGCTGATTTCTTCCTCCTTCTGAGAGTGGATCTCACTTGATATTCTTGTAATTCTGAGCGTTATTTTTTATTTAAAAAAAAAAATTGGTTTTGTTTTGTTTTTGTTTTCTTAATTTTCTGGGTATTTTGAGGGGTTTTGTGGGTTTTAACCCAGTTTTCACCATGCTGGAGCCTCTCAATCAATCAACTAAAAAGTTGAAGAAGCTCAAGCACAAGTGTAATCCATGTCATGAATCCAAGATGATAAGAAAATTGCGCATCATTTGGGAAGATCCTGATGCCACTGACCCTTCATCAGATGAAGATGAGGGCGTTGAGAACAGCAAGAAGATGAAGAGAACCGTGCGTGAGCTTCCTCTTCCACTTGTTTCAGTTGACACTGTCACTGCACATGAGGCTAGTGCTGAGAGCTCAAGCAATGATGGGTTGAACAAGATAGCCAAAACCCCATCAATGAAGAGGCAATCTTGTGGCAAATACAAAGGTGTTAGAATGAGAAAATGGGGCAAATGGGCTGCAGAGATTCGTGACCCTTTCAGAGGTGCACGTCTCTGGTTGGGCACTTTCAACACTGCAGAAGAGGCTTCCCAAGCCTATGAGACCAAAAGGCTTGAATTTGAAGCCATGGCCAAGGCTTTATCTGATGTGAAGAGCAACAAGAATAGCAACCACAATGATGTTGTTTCTGTTGAAAACATGGATGCCCAAGAAAAGAACAACACTTCCGACTATTGTGTTTCTTCTGGTGCAGCTTCTGTTTCAGACTCCAAGTCTGTTACTTTGGATGACTCAGAGAGTGGTGTATTGTCACATACATCACCATATTCTGAGCGGGAATTGGAGGCCTCTGCTTCCAATTTGATTCGCGGTGCCAAGATACTGAGCAATGAAGTTGTTGAGACCAGTGATCTGGTGGCTGAATTTGCAGAGCTGGAAATACCCGATTTGAGTGTGTTGAATGTGCCATCACCATCTGCTGATTGGTTGGTGTTTGACGGTTTTGAGCAGAGCTATGATGATGATCTTGGTGGCTTGGAGGACATTCAGATTTGTGGTTTTGATGACAATGGGCATAGTGAGCTTCCTGATTTCGATTTTGATGACTTTGGTGCTGATGAGTTTGCTGGTTGGATTGAAGAACCCCTCAATATACCATGCGTATAAATTTTGCAGCTGTAGAGGAATGAGCTATCCTAGAGAGTCCTACTAGTACTACTATTATTACTACATTATAAGTTTTGGGCTATTGTTTAGAAGTGCTATAGCAGTGAGATCTCAGGACAAAACTAGTTCCTGAGAGAGTTGTTTTTGTAAGTTGAGTTTTAATTTATTTGTTTCTTGAGGGAGATGTATGTAGGATCAATGTGAGGTAAAAGGTGGAATGCCTTGGGTTTTCTTGTGCTACTGGAGCCGTCCAAGGGTTCTCCAAAATACTATTATCCATGAAAGTTGTTCTGTGGCAGAGTGTAGAAGACTGTCTACCCATAAAAAATGCTTTGATTGCAAATATGTGTGAACTTGTTTTTTTTCCGTGTTGGACGATTTGCATTAACCATTTTTTATCCCTTTCTCTTTTGTGGAATCTTTTGGCTTTCTTTGAAAAAAGTTGTTCCTCCCTACTTTTTTTTTATTATGTTTTTCTGTTCTCTGTACTTAAAATATTACTTTTGTTTTTATTCATATGTATTTATATATCTAGGGAAATGGCGAAAATTCTTTTATTATTTGTTTCAATAGTTTAAAAGTAAAAAAGGTGATTCTTATTATCGTTCATTGCATATAAACAGGGGTAATATTAGTTAAAAATAAAAAGTAAAAGTTTGTCGTTTAAATTATGATTGAAAAAAAGATTTTATTAACCTAAAGCTGAGTTTAAAAATTCATAAATAAATTTTTTTTATGAAAATATATATAATTATTGTATTAAAGTTATAAAAATATAATAAATATTTTTTTAATAAAATTTTATTATTATTAATTATTTATCTTCAGTTTTAGATAATAAAATCTTTAAAAAAAATAAAATTTATATAAAATAATGGTTAATATTGATAATTTTTAATAAAATTTATATAAAATAATAGTTAATATTGATAATTTTTAGTGTGGGGGAGAGTGAGACAGAGAGTTAAATTTTGAGAATGGTGGGAACAGAAAAGTAATAGAAATGCAGAAAGTGGGGCCAAAAGTATTGTGTTTTCACCAAAGAAAGGATATCGTCAACCACAGGCAGCCAAAGATGTATCCCAATTCAGGGAATTCTTTGCCAGCTGTATACCATTCCCCCTCCTCATTTATTAGGGAACCGTTACTGCTACTTTCACAAGTCAATTTTATATAATTTTAAATTATTTTAGTTAATAACAAATACTTTAGAAATTAATTTTTTATTCAAATTTGTAACATTTAATATTATTTTTATATTAAATTTTATGATATCTTTTTATTTATTATATATAATTTTTTTTTATCATGGAGGCTTACATCTACTTTATAAAAATTGTTTTTCTTACACCGGTCTAAAAATACAAGTTATTGAAAAGAGAATAATGTAAAACATAACATAAACGTAAAAAAATATTATTATTGTTATTAGTTAATATATTGAAAATATTAGTATAACAATAACACTTTAAATTTTTAAAAACAAGTTTTACAATAAACTGTTTAAATAATTGATATAATAGTATTTTTAACGAGAATGTTGCTTGATTAAACAGTTATAATTATTTGATATCCCCAAGTGTTATCGAAAGTGAGAATGTTGGTGGATTGAAAAATATGAAGAGAAGTAGTAACTGAAAAGTCATTAAATTATTTTCAGTCTTTTATTGTTTTATAATAGAAAAGATTTAAAACGAAAAAAAAAAAGGAGAGAACTAAAGATAATATATAAAGACTAAAAAAACTGAAAAAAGAGAGACGAGAATAGAAAAAAAGTACAAAAATTAGAAACTACAAATTTATTAAAGTGTAAAATAAATACGTTAACATAAAAAATATTTCTTTCAACATTTTTTACGAGACTCTTTCAATTTTTTTAATAAATTTTAATATAAGTCTCCTTATAAAATTTGTAAAATATTTTTTATTTTTATATTTTGATTTCCTAAATAATATTTTTAAATTTTAAACAATTATTATACTAATATTTAATTCTAAATAATAATAAAATTGAATCTTATGATTAATTTTATAATTAAGAACAAATTTTTAAACTGTATAATTTAATTATGAGTTTTTACCAACGAGTGTCTTAAGAATTAGTTAAACATAAAAATGAAAAATTATCAAAGGATAATATTTTAAAAATTACAAAAATATAAAAACTTTTTAAAAATCGTTAGTTCAGTAACATATTTTGGTATTTTAAATTTTTTATTATTCTTTAAAAATCGAATTTTTATTATATTTTTTATAAAATTGACTTTTTATTATTTTTCTATTATTACTTATAAATAAAAATTTGTTAGGGATAATTTTTGAATTTTTCTAATTTTTAAAAAATAGTATGTTTTGGTATATATATATATATTTTAAATTTTATATAAAAATTAAATTTAAATAAATAATATTTTTTATTAAAAATTATATAAAATATAAAATAATATTTTTTTGACCTTTTTAATAAAATGTTTTAATTTCTTAATCAAACTGAAGGTTTTAATGAAAGAAATTCGTGGTTGTCCACGTAAATGATAACACTCGAGGAGCGTGGAAAGCACCGGCATTTCTGTTTGCCTCTCTTCTCTTTTACACCGTTGGCTCCTTCCTCCCTACTACCTACCCATCGAACGGAACGTATAATACAATTTCCTTTTCGGCGCGTGGGTCCAACATTCTGCTATCTCTCCCCAACAGCTTTATCGTAAAATCAAACATAGCTTTAAAAAAAGTAGTCACTAAACACAGTCACACTTGTTGTACTGCACCCCTACGCTGTCCCTTTCTATCTCTCTACTCTACTCTTTAGCTCAACTCAACAACACAAAGAAACCCATTTTGCAGTGAAAGCTCTCGCCGCAGCTAGAGATGGCAGAGGGAAGAGGGTCCACTCTAGTTCACATTTTGGTTGTCCTTTTGAGTTTGGTTGCATTTGGCTTTGCCATTGCCGCCGAGAGAAGAAGAAGCGTCGTAAGTTTCTCACTCTTTCTCTGTTAATTTGCATTGCTGTGTTATGGTTATCTTTTTCACTCTTATTTCTCTTTCTCCTCGCTTCTGTTATTTGTGTGCTAAGAAAATTGCTAATAGCTTAGCAATTAGTCATAGATCTATTTTAGACTCTGTTTGAACATTAAGATAGGGACATTTACCTGTATTGTATGGAATCTTCTCGAACTTGTTTGGGAAACAAAGTGTGGGAGAGATGAAGATGAGGAGTGTTTGAGCGAAGAATTTTCTTCAAAATTAGATCCCATTCCGTAGAAATATAATTGTAAATTTCGCAGCTTACCTAAATTCTGTTAGTGGTGAACAATTATTGTGGAATTTCCTTTTTAACGTTCATTTTTCTGAAGACAATTGTTTCCTACATGGTCACTTGCATTCATCGCCCTTAACGTTTTTGCTCCTCAAAGAAGGTGGAAATAATGGTTTTGAATATTGAGCATTGTGTTTCTGAAATAACTAGTGTAGTAGAATGATAACTATTCAAAATGTTTTCTTAGTTCAGTGGTTAAGAAATTAAAAATAGAAACCATAAATGAAGGCACAAGCAGCTCTATAGCATGGGCATATCGTTTTGAGTTGTTAACTATTGGGGACAGGTTCATGCTGAGTATGCCCGGATACTTGTCAAAATTGGTTTATTTTATTCTATGTTTTTGAAAATGTAGCTACGCAACTTAGGTATGATTCTAAGGAGACTAGGTGTGAGTTAAGGTATGGCTAAGTAACTACTTTCTTCTTTTAGGAATAAGGGTAATTTAATAAAGAGCAATAAATGGTATTTTAATTCCTTAATTTGTTGACCAAAAATAAAATCCTTAATTTTCACACGGTAACAAAAACCATAGACAAAATGTAGTAACCTAGCACACGAAAGAAAATTAAAGTAACCTAATCTGTTTATTTGGAATTAATTGTCAAGTCAGTAGACCATAAATGACATTTTTGGGGTTGAGTGCATCTGGAACTGCTGTGCAGAAGTTGTTAGGAACCCAGAAACAGAAATGTAGATAGAATGCTACTGTTGTTGTGATAGGGGTTATATTATGAGCTTGACAGTAGAACAATTCCCTGCTTTAGAGGTCAGGAAAGGTACCTCCAGAAATTAAGGGGGAAACAGATTTTTGGAATAATTCTTCTTTGACCCTTTTCATTCATTCCATTCTCTTTATAGTAGTGCATACATATGAAGGAAACAATGGATACTGACAAAACAAAATAACAAACCCAGTCATTGGGTGGCAACACAGCTAATATATCAAATCTCAAAGAAATCACTAAAATCTTCCCAGGGAAGTGGGCGTTTAAGGATCCTCTTGAGGCTTGTCTCCCTCAGCAGAATCAATCTTTATCACCTCAGGTTCTTTTGGGGCAGAATTCATTGGGCTCAAGATGCTATCATATTGAATGACAAAAAAAATAGGAGAGAATTCTCTTCCACAGGGTTTCCCCTTCAGAAGTGTTAACTTTTTCTACAAAATAGCTCTTGCTCAATTCCCTGATGACAGTTTTGAATGGTTCCTCTTCTCTTACTACTATAACTGTTCATTACTACTTTTTCCCCTTCCCTTCTTTCCTAGCATAAGTAAATTTAAGTGTATCTTAAATAGAGGCATGATGAGTGAAATGGGAATCTGGTGTTATTTTCTAGAAAATTGATCATACTCAGCAAATCTTTTGAAATATTGTTGCTTTTGGTACAAACAATCATTGGGTAAATTTTATGATAATTGATAAGAACTTTTGGAGAACTACACCACAAAGGGTAACTGTTATAGTTGGAGAGTGTAAGACTTTATATACCCCACACTAGAATCCATTACTTCCAATTTAGGACCCAAGTCTCATACCTTGCAATTGAATTCTATCATCTTACCATCATTCTGTCAGTATGATATGGCACAGCTGTGAGCATAGTGTAACAAAGACTTTGGTTACTTAATTCATCATCATACTATAGAAAACTCATGCCTACTTGCAGCTGTGTAAATGATGACAAGATAATAGGAAAATCCACAGCTGGTTCCAGTCTTTATATTTTATTCAAATATTCTACATATAAGTGTTATCTTTTCCCTACTACACCCAGAATAGCTCCATGTAAAGGGGTGATGAGCATTTACTCTGCCTCTTGGCAAGTATTGCAACATCAGCAATGATCTTGTCTCTTAATGTCCGACGGTAAAAGTACTGTGCCTGTGATCCTTGGGCGTAGAGGTGCTACAGTACAGGGATTGGGCTCAATCTTTTATGTCTGAATCAATTACAGGCTTGTTTGCCCCAATTCATTTGAACTTTTCTTTGATCAAGTTTGGGCTTGGCTCTGTTGCACCAATTCTTGAACAAAGATTTAGATTGGCTGTTGTTTCGAGCCCTGAATAAGAAAGGATTTTTTTGCCTGGTCCAGTAGGGCCTGAAGCACAATTTGGGCTGGTTAGCCCATTTACTCCCATAATCTCCAAAAGCTTCATCTATCCGGAATTGATTGTGGCTACCTGCAGCTGTGACAGCAATGGTATATTCTTTCTGTTCCCACGAATATCTAACAGGGCAACTTAATTTCCGTGATTGTGGACTAAAGGCTGAGTTTGAGAGTTGGATTGTATCTAATTGACGAGACAGTTGCCCATCATCCAATCTTTTAATCTCAATAGCTATCTCTCTTAATGGCTTGAACTTGAACATATCATTTGCACTGGCAATCTTATTTTTGAGACCACCATTAAATCCACCGTCAAAGACCTTTTTGGCCATCCAATAGTTTAATCTCAATCTTGGTAGCTCTTGTAGCATTTGATGCAAGTGAGCTCTTTCGAAATATGGATTAGGTTCTCTTTGTAATCTCTATAGTCAATGCAACTGCTCTTGGAAAACAAGTCACCTTGAAACACTTGATGTTTCTTCTTGCCCTTCTGCTAGTGTGACCCTTCTTTGCCACTTCCGCTTCCATATGAACAGGGAGACCAATCTGAGGCTGCTAAAGGTACTTGTTGATCTATTGGTGTTACTTTCTAATGAAAGAATAACTTCAAGCAATGGATCCACTTAGTGGGCCTGGTGCCAGAATCACAAGAAATCATATCTCATGTCCCTTGTCCTGCACAAATACCTATGTTCCTTGCAATACCTCCCTGTTTTTGGTTGTCTTCTTAAGAGGGTACACACACACACACCCCTATCGAGTTTACTATATCTCCTATTTTTTCTCCCTCAGTCTCAATATGTCTATTGGTTTGAATGTGACTTTATTGTATCTTCTTGTGTTAAAAGCTGAATTCATTGAAGTGTTCAAGATGATATTCTGTAAGGTAGTTTTTTACATCCTTTTCGTGGATTAACATGCATTCAACACAACTTGCTGTCTTGTTTGTGGTTTGTTTGAACAGCTATGGATTCAAAATGAGAACAGATTTCAAAGGTAAATAAATTATAATATATAAAATGATAAAAAAACTCTGAAGAAAATTTCTACTGTCATAATTCCCAGTCATGGACATCGTGCATCTTTTGACCCTATAAATCACAGCCACACTTGCATAATTGGGAGAGGTTAGACTCAATTAACCACATATGCCTCCTATACCCATCAGCTAATATTTTTGCAGTCGATGTTGTTTCAAATGTGGTGTACTTTATTCATTTAGTCAACAATGTTCTTGTTAATGTGCATTGACTTGGGCCCCTTTTCTTTGCCCTTGCTTGACAGGGAATCATGCGCAAAAATGAAGCCACAAATGAAACATATTGTGTCTACAATTCAGATGTTGCTACTGGTTATGGAGTGGGGGCTTTCCTCTTTCTTCTTTCAGGTGAATCACTGCTTATGGGAGTGACAAAGTGCATGTGCTTTGGGAGGCCGTTAACACCTGGGGGAAATCGAGCATGGTCTATTATATATTTTATCTCTTCTTGGTAAGGATCTTAAATTCGTACATTGACAATTTTTATTTCATCTGAGCATACATACTGATATTGAAGAAGCTAAAATATTGTGTTAAGAATGATATATTCTTAAAATGTCTACTCTGTGACTCTAGTGAAAATAGTTATTGGAGATTTCATTATTTGGTTAATCTCTGATGGTTTAATTATTTGATTTATAAAGTAATCCCTCACCCTTTTTACCCTTAACTTTGGTTAAAGGTAGACTTTGAAATATTATTTTACTGCACAACATATGTTGTTTTTTTTTTTTTTTGTCTTTATTCATGTTAAGCTTCCAGTCCCGACGACTAACAAAAATATTACTCATTAAACACCACAATATTGTTGTGGTCATGCTCTTAAGCATTGAATCATTTGAGTTTCAACGTTGCATTTTGTGCATTCCCAGGGTCACTTTTCTGGTAGCAGAATCATGCTTGATAGCAGGTGCAACCAAGAATGCTTACCACACCAAATACCGTGGAATGATTTATGCTCAGAACTTCTCGTGTGAAGCCTTGAGGAAAGGTGTCTTTGTTGCTGGGGCAGTTTTTGTTGTTGCAACCATGATTCTTAACGTATACTATTACATGTACTTCACAAAGGCAACTACTAAACCAGTTTCTCATAAGGCGAATCGGGTGAGCTCCACGGTTGGAATGACTGGATATGCATGATGGACCTTGGGTGAAGGGGTATCAAATTTTGAGGCTTAATTTCAATGGATGTCTCTATAATCGTCACTAGTAAAACAGTGATTTTCAGTTTGGTTTTTGTTAGTTAATGGGTGTTTATATATTGTGGATGTTACTGATCAGAAACAAGTTATAGCCTATATCTATAAATACCAAATTTAGGTAAAAGAGGTTCTCGTCATTTTATCAGATTTCAGATAACCTTTGCATTCAAAGTGTGTTAACATATTTGAGCCTATTTTTACCTCAAATAGAATTGGGACTTTCGAAAGCCTTGGTATTGATTTGAGGATGAGCAGAATTGGAGGCTACTTTCACATAATCAAATCCGATGAAATAGATCTTGTTTTTCAAATATTTAGGGCAACAAATTAGGACATGTGACAACTCCCTATAATTTCTAAGATTGTTTCAACAACATTTAAGTATTTTTAGACAAAATTTAAATATTTTTAAATAGTATTAAATTATCTAATATTTTATATTATTAGTTTTTAAATTGTTTTAATAAAAATATAAACAAATTGTTTGCATAAAAATATTAAATTATTTATTTAGTATGCAAATATAGGGAAAAAATGATACATGACAAATTTATCATTTAATAATAGTCAGGTACGATCCAATCTAATGTAAATTGTAAAAATTAAATAAAAAAAGTAAAAAAATCGAATTAACCACAAATAAAATAAATTAAAAATCATAAAAGTTGATATTTTTAGGTTATACTAGATTTTGACTCCTGCTTTAAAAATCAATTTAATTTAAATCAAATATATGCTTAAATAAATAATATTTAATAAAATTAACATCTCACTTGTTTATTTAAGATCATATATTGATAAAATTATTATACCTAACCATTTTTTATAATTTTACTTTTAAATTTTTACCATATTATTTTTAGAAATACGATTTATTATTTTCATGATTATATAAATATATTTGTTTAGAGTAATTTAAAATTATTCTTATGTAATATAATGTTTTATATTATTTATTAAAACCTTATTTATTTTTAAAAAATATAAAACATAAAAAAAATGTGATGAAGTTTTTCTTCAATTAGTTGTGATATTTGATAATATAATATTCTTTTGTTGTAGAAACAAGTGGAGGGTAAATGCTTTGAAGATTGAATGAGTTGATTCTTTATAATTTATTTAGTATATAAAAATACAACACATTTCACATCTTGATATGCCTCTGTGCTTAGTTGAAACAGTAACAACATTAAAGAAATGATAGTTGGATCTCAGTTACCGTCAAACAAACAAAGACAACATCTTCCTCCCTACGTCAAACCCAACACAATTGCGCGATTCGCGGCATACACGGTTAATCAAAAATTTTATTAATCTATTTTTTAATATTATGCAGCTATTATAAATTTAAATAATTTTAAATAAAAATTATATCATTTTTTTAAATTTTACTAAATTAAATATAAATTCTTTATTTTCACTAATAAATATTCAAATATTCTATTCGTACCCATTAAAGTTTGCAAACATTTACCTATATTCAAACTCGTTTAACAAATATTTACCTTACTCGTCAATAATATTTTTTATGATGATTCAATAAATATATATATCATTGCCATTCCTAACATCTAAGTTTTGTAATTTTTTAACTTTATAAGTTGGAAACGTTATTGTTCATTGATATTTGATAATAGCCTTTTTCTTCATGATTAGTAATTAAAAATTAAATGGTATCTTTAGAATATTTATATTAGATCATAGAATCCCTCAAAAGGAGGGTCGGTGTGACCAATCTAATTTAGATTTTTGAATCAACGAATTACAAAAATGAAATGGAAATTAAGAAACGATTCACAGCTTCCCTAATTCACTTTCGAGTATGGCAAGTAGTCATTGATTCATAAAAGCAATAATAGAAATCAATTATCATTTAAGGTTAAGGCAACAAAAGAAACTAATTTATAAACTAAATCAAATCCTAACAAAAATATAAAAACATAAAATCTTAAAATAATTCAACCTATACTATATGTTTCTAACAAAAATCTGCCAAAGATAATATTTTAAGTAATTACAATATAAACAAGTAAATAAACTTATTCACCAAATATAGGATTAAAATAAAGTATAATAAGTTATCTTATCCACCAGATAAAATCTTAGATACAGAAATTCTCTATATATCCCCTTTATGTTTCAAATGATGTTGGTGGATACTCATCTATGTTTCCATCAACATTTGTTAAGTCTTACTAAGAATTGTATATTCTAAGCCATCATTGCATCAACAAGTAATATACATAATCAAAACGTCAGATTATTTCTTTTTATGTAAGAAACAACGTAAAATATACTTAAAATAAATATATATGCTATCTATTTATTTCTTCAAATGTTGTATTTGCTATTACATGATACGTTCTTTGAATTATTACAAGTGATTAACACATGTTGACAAACTTACATTCTAATATCACACAAATTTTGAATTATTGGAACCAATTAGGGTGACTTTTACTATTCTAATGATTTTAAATCAAGCAATACTAATACTTAAAAAAAAAAAAATTATCAAATGTTAGAATCTATCTATATCTATATTTCGATTTTACATGTAAAATTGACTGACACTATTTATTACGGTATATATTTATAATAAAATTTATAATTATTAAATTTTAGAATATTTATAGTTACTTATAATATTAGTAACTGCAATTACTTACTATTATGTATATTTATATCAAATTTTATTATTATAAAAATTTATATGAATAGTCAAAACAAATATTAATAATATTAAAAATAAAAATAACATATTGACTATAAACTATATTTAATAATCTACAAATAAAATTGACTGTCACTATTTATTATTGTATATATTTACAATAAAATTTATGATTATTAAACTTTAGAATACTTATAGTTACTTATAATATTGGTAAATACAACTACTTATTACTTTATATATTTATATCAAATTTTTTTATTATAAAAATTTAAAATATTTAGAATCAGTTATATTATTAGTGATACAAATGTTACATTATTAAAAATAAAATATTACCTTCCACCTACTTATTATTATATATATTTGTAATAAAAATTATAATTATTAAAATTTAAAATGTTTAGATTTATTTACATGGTTAATGATATAGATGGTCAAAACAAGTATTGTTAATGTCAAAAACGAAAATAACATATTGACTATAAATTATATTTAATAATTATTTATTAAAATTAATTATAATATTTTACATAACTTATGAATTAAAATTATCATTGATTAATAATTATTATCTTTAAATTGTATTTAAAGAAATTCTATTAGAATTGATTTTATATAAATATTTTATATGGATAGTTATACACTTAAAAATTTTTTTGCTATAAGTGATATTTAATAAAAATTATTTAAATTTCTTAAATATTAAAAATAAAATAAAATTCATTGTGAAATATTAAAAAAAGAAAAAAATATCAATTAAAGTACATAAAAAAATTTCATAAAAATCAAATGAAAATTTCAAGTGATATGTTTTTTTGTTTTTCCTCCAAAAACTCAACTGATATATTAATAGAAAATAAAATTGTATCTTATTTTCAAATTTGAATATATTGATTTAAATAATTATTTGATATTGTATATTATTAAATTATTATTTTATTTTATAAATTATTAAATTATATTTATGACAAAAAAATAAATAAATTATAATAAAAATGAAGCTTTTGAACTTTTTAAAAGTTCTTTCTATTATTTTACTTTATTTTTGAATTTTATAATTATATTAACGTTAAAAATTTTCTATCTAATTAAACATATATATTATTAATATTGATATTTTTTATTTTATTTTTATTAAATTATATTTATATATTATATTTTAATTTATTGAATACATATAAAACTGCATTATTTGTAAGTAATATTATATATTAAAATTTATTTTTAATCAATTAAATTATATCAAATCTATCAATATTTCTTTAACTAAATTAATCTACAATAGTATAAATTTATATTATCTAAAATTATATCATAGAGTTGACGTATTGTATATGTTATATTTTAAAATTTATAAATAAAAATAATTAAAAAATAATTAAAAATAATAATAAAATCTTATGTTATAAATATATTTCTTAAATTTTTTTAAATATACTAATAATAAATAAAATATAATTAATAAAATATAACATATTAAATTTAATTATCTTTATAGCACTTATAAAATTTTTTAATAATTAAATTTAATTAAAATATATAAATCAATTTATGTAAAATTGACTACACCTACTTATTATTATATATATTTACAACAAAATTTATATTTATTAAACTTTAAAATACTCAAAGTCATATAAAATATTAGTAATATGAATAATTAGTATAGATATTTAGACATGTTAAAAATAAAACCACAAATTAATTATGAATTGTGTTTAACAAAAATGTTTTCAAAACTTTAGAATACTTAAAATCACATTAAAAATAATTTATTTTAATGTGATTTTAAGTATTTTTATATATAATTTATTTTAAAAATAATCCAATTTTTTATTTTTCTGTCACATTAAAAATAATTATAATTTATTAATTATTTTACACGAATATATTTATTATTTTTTATTTTAAATTATAATTATTTTAAACTAAATTAACTAATAAAAAATATAAATATATTTTGTACAATTACGTGCACGGATATATTTTCTAGTATATTATGGAAGTTACCTCCAATTTTCGTCCTTCACTTCATGCCATTACAACCTTCTTCATAATTATCTCATGCTTAATCTCCTTTTCATGAGTTTCAACAGCATGACTATCATAAGAATTAACTTACTCACAATAAAACTAGAATACATAAGTCAAATACTAGTGAATAGAACAAGTACCATTTACAAACATGATAAATAAAGGTTTTAAACCAAAAATAATTTATACAAGAAAATCATAAATTTTATGTCAATTTTTTTCCTTTTTCTTCATCTAATTAAAACTTGTTTATCCCTTATGATTAACATAAATTAAGAGATTGACACCCTTCATCTTTCCATGATAATATTTCATATATACAAGCCATCATTTTTAGATGAATTGTTATTAAGTGACCAATGTC